GAGCTGGAGCAGCACTTGTGGAGCTCCTTGTGCCCTGCAAAGGGAGGGAGGGAGGGAGGAGCACTGTTGTTCCAATTCACATCATTTACATTTACCTGTGCCTCCCCAGTCCAGAAATGCCCTTTCCTTCTCTCACCGTGCTCCTCTCTGGGACAGAGTTAATTTAATTTTCCTGCCGGTGCTGTGGAGTGAGGGCTGTGTGTGTTTGGCTGCCTGCTGGGTTAAAGCACCTCCTATTCCTGTCTGTGCATTTTCCATCCCTGCACTCTCGGAATTCCTTCAGGCCTGGGCCTCAGGGCACTGTGTAGGGTTCATGTACCATTCCCAAATGTGAACTTGATTACCTTGCAGATGCAAGAGTCTGCTCATTTCAAATGTCACAGAAGGAAGCTAAGAAGAAAGACAAATGAAAATTTCCTTGAGAATGGTGAAGATGTGAATTGTTTCTGGCCTGTGTTCATGCAGCACCTGTTAATGACAACTGTGGGGACGGATAAGTGGATTTACTAATTCATATTTGGTGTGCAGAATTCCCTGGTGCTCTGCAAAGCTGGGAGATCTCTGATTAAACTGACTTTTAAAGGCAAGCACCACTTTGGAAAAAAAATGTCCAATCACCAAGCTGTGGGAATCTGGCAGGTATTCCTCAAAGCCTGGGGATGCTCATCTTCCATAAGAAAACTTGGAGCATTCAGTAGTTCTGATATGTTGAGACAATTTTTGGGTGGTTTTGTGATACCTATTAAGGCCTCAAAATACTGGAATTGGGGGCACTTTATAGCTGTGATGTTCTGCAGCCATGAACAGCTTCTGTTGCTTTTATGTTTCTTTCTGTACAGACATTTTGGCTGATGGGAAAGAGATCTTTCCATGTGGCATGGGATGGATGCAGCTCATCTCATCTCCTACTAAATGTGATGTCCCATTTTTTTAATCAAACCCCTAATCTCCTATCCATTGACAGTTTTTGCTTGAAAAACTGTGGTTGCCACTGGAAACCATGACTTGCCAGTTGTCCTTTTGTTTGATCCTGGCTGACACAGGACTGGGTTTTGTTACTCTTTCTGTACATTTTGATTCCTTCTGAATCATCCAAACAAGAGGCCTCAAAGCCATTATACACCAAAGCAGTACCAGTAGTTTATTTTTTTTTACTGTTTTGGCTCAAAGCAGCATCAATTCAATTATTCTGATTGGGAAAGAGGCTCAGTTAAACTCATTCTCACGTCAATTCGATGAGAGGACGTTCTCCTTTCCTAAGTGCAATGAAATAAAAAGCAGAAATTGAAGGGGGTTTGGGGTTGGGTGGTTTGGGTTTTTTTTGAGGAAGAGACTATAAAAATCTCAGGCTATAAATTCACCATGACAGTGAAAAGATGTGTCAGATTTTGGGCTGGGTTGGCTTTGTGTCAGTCACGCTCCGTACGCTGGACCGTGTGTTGGCTCCATGAACCTTTTTTACTTTATGCTGCCATAAGCTTTATATGTCTGTCCTCTCACAAGCTGAATAAATGTCATGTAGGACATTCTGTCCCATCTGTCACAAGTGCTATTGTGTGTCTGGATCCATATTGGATTAGTATTGATGAGAGACCTCAGGTATTTTATATAAAATGTGCATTAAGGACGGTGTATAGAAAGTACAGATATGAAAAGAGAACTCTTTTGGAAATAGCTGCTGTAAAGCAGTTTGTTCAAACATATTTAGGAAGATCATTTTCTTATTTCAGAGATGTTTAGGAGAGGTTTGACATTTTTATTGGTAATTGTTTATTTTTTGATGTGTAAACCAGCTGTTGCGGCTTTCACATGACTAACTGTGCAAGGATATGAGGGAAAATTTCCCAATAAATACTTCCAGAAAATTCTAGAAAAAGCTGTTCCAGACACAGGAATGCCTCAGTGTCAGCTCCTCCCAGACTAAAAAGTAAGATGCAAGATAGGCAAGACAGGAATCTCCCTTTTCTGAAGGCGTAGAGTTTCCACATTTAGCTCTGGAGTTCCATGGCCTTCCACCTGCCACTGGTGACCATTTGTTGGCTTGCAGGGCAGTGTCATTTCAGAAAGAAATTCCACTTGAAATGGAGAAAGTGGCCATTTTTGTGAGGCATAGATTCAGTTACTTACATGACAGCTGCTTGCAGAAGTAAGCCAAGCACTTAAGAGAATGATTTCAAAGAGGCAGAAATTCTCAACAAACCACTCAGCCTTCTTTTAGCTGGATTCACACAGAAACAGCAAATAATTAATTGAGGCCAAAATACATGCCGTGCTGAGTTTGCATTAGCTGGAAGGTTTGGAAATAATTAAGAGCAAAACTGTTAATACTCCATTGAAATAGCTGCTGCCTATCTGTCCACTCTGCAAGCCCAATCTGTTGTGTTCAATCAGCTTTCAGCTGCTACTTGCCAGCAGCCTAATTCCCCAGTCTTGTCTCTGTGCTGTGCTTGTGCATTCCAGTACCTGCTAAGTTAAACCCTGCTGTCCTGGTGCTGCAGGGAGATTTCCAGTGCTATTCCAGGCATCCACCCTGGGTCAGAATGTATCCCAAAGCTGGGGGTGCTGTCCACAGCAGCATGCCTGCTGCCAGTGCAGCACCACCAGGGCAAAGGGGAGCAGCAGCTGTGTGCTTTAGCTCCCAGGATTAGGGCTGTGCTCATTCACCCCATTCTCTGGGCATTTCTGCAGTTTGGACAAGCTGTTGACCTGAAACATTTCCACCTTTATTTTAAAGTGATCTAATGCAGAGTGAGATATTCCTCCCAGCTGCTGTTAACCACAGCCACACTGCAGTTTGATAACATCATCTCAGTTTTCCTGCATCTCTTTGCACTTGAGTTGCACATTCAATACCTTGGCTGATCATTTATATTACAAGGGGATTAAAGGGAAATTAATAATTGTACTTCTTATTGTTTACCTTGTGCAAGGTTGTGTGCACACTGAGAGTGAGGCTACAGGGGAGTCTCTGCTTGGTGACTCTGACAGTTCTAAAGCTGTGTGGGGAGTGTGGAAATCCAGTGCAGTGAGAGCTGTTTGCTGCTGAAGAGGCATTTTAAGCCTCAAACCTGCACCACCAGTTCTTTGCTGAGAAATGTCTATGAAAAATGACAAAGTTCATTGCACAGGCATTTGGAAGGAACTAAAGAGCAATCCATTGACCTTTGCAGATTAAGTAATGCATGCTGTCATAAGGAAGTGCTATTGGAGCCCCAAACAGCGAATGTACAAACTTATCCTCACTAACCCTCCCTGGAGGCAGCCAGGATTTCCTGAGCCCGGAGTGGTTTGTTCTGGCACATCAGATCTCTGAGCTCCAGAGCTGCTTGCTGCTCTGCCTGCCTCTTGGTCCTGAGTGTCCCCAGGTGTAGTAAACCCCTCAGGTTTAGCCAGGGCCCCTTGGAGAATAAAATGCTGACACAGCGGCAAAGAAGTTTCCTGTCTCCAGGGACATCCGCCTTGTACCTTATCCCTATAGCCATGGAAGGCAATATTGTGTTAAACCCTACCATTGGTCACTTATGGTCACCCTAACACCTTTGCCATTGGTCAGGATTGGATCCAGGCCAAGGGTATAAAAGTAGCACACTGTACCCCTACTAACTGGGAAGAAGAAGAGCTGAGACCCTTCACAGACCCCTCCAATAAAGTCATACTGGTGGAACAGCCAGCATCTTCTGCTTCTCCTCTCTCTGCCGTCTGCTGGAGCCTTAGGCCAAGGGAAAAGCTACCTAGCAAGCAAAGCTGAAATCACAAGAGCTGCCTGATCACTGAGAGCTGAACTTTCCCTGCTTGCTAGGGGCTGACCCGCGGCCTTGGTCTGAGAGCGAGCTGGCTTCTGGCACCCAGTGCCCTTGGGGACTGAGCTCTGGAGCTGGAACAGCTTGCATAGGATACGACCAAGCAAGGCTCATTTACCCAGGCAGCAGCAAGGGCAGGGGGCCATGGGGGGGCTGTGCAGGTGCAATACTGAAGGCTCTGTGCTCAGCTCCTGGGCCAACAGAGCCCTCAGTGCCGGGCTCTGGGTGCCTCAGTTCTCACTGAATTAAATGGGACTCAAATGTTTGCATAATACACAGAGAAACTTCCACTCGAAGGCAACAGCAAAGAGCAGTTTTGCTGCTTTTGCAGAACATTTCTATTACAGAAAGAGGACATGAATGAAAATGAGCCATGTGTATAATTCAATATTTCAGTGCAATAGAAATTAAATATGTTCTTTTTTTCTTTTATAATTTGTTAGCTCATTTATTTAATTTATGAGAAAAAATTTATAGATTTTTTTTTCCTGGAGAATGAAATACTCTGTTCAAGTACAAATGAATATGTCACATTCTTATATGACTTGCAAGAAGATGAATTAGTGTGTCTCCTTCTCCAGCCTTTCTTCCACTCCTCCAATTCTACAGAAAGATTATTTTCAGATTCATTGTGTTGCTTTTACTTTATGTAGCTTGTTGCACACTGAAATAAATTTGCCACACTCTTGCTAACATAGTGTTTTTAAAACTATTTTTATTTAGAAACTCTTGGTACAACATTACACAGTCTCAAAAATTAAATCAGTGAAAAAGAAGAGAAATTCTGTTCATCAGTCTAGCATTTGAACTCATAATCGTGTGTCAGATGTGGAAAAAAAAATGGAGCTCTCCCGAGCCCCTGGACAAGAGAAGTCACTTTACCAGGACATTGAGATAATTTATCTGGGTGACTCAGAAAAAATGCTAGATAAGACTGAAATTTGGAGAGGCTGAGCACGTCCAGTCTTAGCCTTTGGATTATCAAGAATAAATCCAGCAACTGGCATGTGAATATGTTAATGCTGTAGCTTCTAGCATGGAAACAGGAAACTGTATTTATGAGGCAAAAATATATCAGAGATTAATTCAGTTCTATATATAATATATACATTTTACAGATGCAAAATCTTTGCCAAAATATGCATAATTTGCAAGTACACCGAAGTTAGAAAATGCCAGAATAAAGGTTGCCTTTCCATGCATATGCCCTGAAGGAATCTTTAATTACAAGATTCCTGGCTTCTTTTTCTAACACTGAAATTTTCTAATTCCACTGCGTGCTTGATTTTGAAGTCCTAATATTTCCTCTTTTAAATAAAGACTTAGGGATGCATTTCCCCAGGTTTAAAAGAAAAACAGCAGAATTGGAAAACAACAATATTCCATCCTTTTACCAGCATCAGGCTGCAGCCTCTGTGTGATGCCAGGAGCCTCCTGAGAGGATTTCCCCAATGCTGGAGCCTGAGCAGTGATCCTGTGTGTCCTTTGCCATGTGACACAGCTACAGGTGTCAGCAAGGTAAGGCAGCACCTGAGGAGAGTTTTAAATGAGTCACTTATTATTGCTGTCATCATTTTCATTATATCCTCATTGTGCAACCTTTCCCAGCCCTGCTTGGAGCAGCCACGTGGATTTCCTGGGTGCACGGTCACTTCTGCCCATGCAAATGAATGCAGAACGTGGATTTCTGATTTGCTCACATTTGAAATCTCTTTGCCCTCAGTCTGTGCAGCTGTGAGGGGCAGCACGTGGTGCTGCAGCCTGCAGATCCTGGCCATGTGCTCAGGGGGTCCCACTTGAAGCTGATTTTCTCCCTCGTGGCTGTTAAGTCAGAGCAGTCCCACTGACAGCACAAGCTGATAATGATTTATCACACATCCAGTGCACTGAGTCATTGTGCCTTGTCTGCCTCTTTCTGCTGTGGATTGAAGAGTTTTGATCAATAGTGACAGCATGCAAAGCCTCATAAAATTTGTTCATTTCCTCGAATCCCTTTCCATGCTTTGGTATTTTATATGTATAACCATGGGGGCAATATTTCAAATCTCTCTCTGTGCACTACAGAAAAGCCTCAAAAGTAGTGCTTACCTCTGCAAAGGCTGTGCATTCCCAAATTCCAAATTGTCACAGCACAGGAGGGTTGGGGACTCAGGAGCCTGACTCCAATGAGAGAGCTTAGAGGTAGAAAAACATCCTGTGAACACCCATGGAGTGAGAGGGTTAAATATTCATTTTACATTGCTTTTTAGTTGATTAATTTAAACCAGGACTATACACCTGGTACTGAAACTGCAAACTGAAAGTTCTCTGTGAGATCTGGAAACAGCAACAGGCTTGCTTCCATAAATAATACTGAAAGTTAAACAGTGATTTCACAAGGTCCAGGACGTAGTATAAATAAGAAAGCAGAAATATCCAGGAAATCCTAAGTTAACAAATGTTTTCGTTTAAACATTATATGTTTTTCTTGATCTCTGAAAATCATCTTCACAGTAGACACTAAACTGAGAGAAGTAAAAAAGAAAAATGTTCTCTGACTTGAGCAAGATATTTTGTCACACTGAAAGAAGGGTTTGTTCTGAAGCTTTTCAGTGCTAATCCAAAAGCTCACAGACCTGGTGAAAAGTGAAAAAGCAATGAAATATTCTATTAATGGCACCAAGCTTGTGTCAAAAAGTCTCAGATGCCGTGTGCTGACACCAAATATCACAGCATTCAGCAGCTGCAGGAGATTGGATTAGTGCAGTGCTTGGAATGGAACCATCCCAAGGGGGTTTGAGGCATGTTAGGCCAAATTCAGCCAGGAGGTAACTGCATGGATTTGACTGGATTTATACCCAGAGAAATTGAGTCATTTTTGTTGTGGCCAAAATGTAATGCTCAGGTTAAAACTGGGCATCTGTACAAAAGTTATGACTCCTCTTTTTAAAGAAATCATTTAAAATGTCATCCAGTTATTTCAGGTAAGCACAGGTACTACTTCAGATCAGTGATTCTGCTGTTTTCATTTTTGGCTCCTAGACCAAACTGAGTTGCTGAAAATGAAAAGGAAGGAAAGGGGAGAAGTTCTGTGAAAATTTTTCCACTTACAGCACACACCACTCGCTGTTTCTGTGTCCCCATTGTCCTCAGGCCACCCCATTCTAGATTCAGGACCTGTTTCAGTCACAAGTGTTCCTGTTCTGTCTAAAGCATCATCTCTGTCTGGTATTTATTCCATAGTCCAGTGGACTGAACGACCTGTGAGCGGGACAGATGCCAGAGGAAAACAAGCACAGGCTGGGGGCAGCCAAAAACCTGCTGACATTGAGTCATTGAGAAGCTCTGAGGGGATTGTCCTGCTTTGCTTTGTTTATGCTTTGTTCCATCTATGTGTTTTTTAAAAACCACAAACTCTGCTCTGGAAAATACATATTTTGGCTTTGTACAGTTTGCTAAATTCTGTTCAGCCCACTCAGCAGTATATTAACTTCTGCCACATGATTTGGTTTTTCTCTTACGGTCTCCATGGGAAAAAAAGGTGTTGGAACTGTAGTTCTTGTTGTCTGATGTTTAGGTTTATTATTTCTGTGTTTGCATGTAAATAGGGAAAGGGAAAAGTAGCCATGAGCTCCTGGCAAGTTCAGGAAACCTGGTGCTTGTACAGAGCTGAACTGTGGCAGTGGGCAGCCATTGTGTATCAAAGGCAAGGATTATCCTTATCCTGTCTCAGAGCAGTGGGGAGGCATTTCAGCACCGTTACAGTAATTTCTGTATCTCAGGAGGCTCAGAGTTGCTGTAGCAACCTTTGCTAGATAGGAATTTGGCTGGTGAAGCCCCACAGGAATCTGCTCCCACTCTTGCCTAACCTCTCACATCAGCAGTGTCAGCTGCCAGGGAGAAGCCCCAGCTGTGAATCAGGCAGGGTGAGGGGACCCTTCCCACAGGCTCCTCACAGAACTTTCCCCTCATTCCTGCTTTTTGACATTTTCCCATGGGGGAGAGCTTTGCTGTGTGTGCAGAGTTCTGTGCTGAACCTGAATTGTGAGAGTGGTCACAGTGAATGTGGTGCTCACAAACAAGCCCCTGTCCGTGTGCCTGCAGGTGCAGCCAGTGGAGATGCAAAAGCAGGAGTGCAGATCAGTGTGGGGAGTTTGACTGGGAGGCAGCAGGAGCTGTGGTGACACAAAAGAAGTATTACAAAGTCACCAAGGGGATCGGGCAGATGGAACAGACTTGAGTAGGAAGGAATACAGACAAGGTCCCCAAAGGCTGTTACTTAGATTTGGATAAAAAATGAAGTGTGAAGTTGGTCAGAGCATGAGGGGATGCATCACTCCTAAACCAGTTCCTTCAGAAGTGTGAAGTAGTTTCTGGAGTAATGAAAGACAGGTTTTTGGCCTTCTAGACTGATGTATGGTTGAGAATAATATTTGGAAGGTTTTATTTATAGTTTTGCCCAGTGGTTACAGAGAAGACAGTCCATGTTTTGGTCTCTTGCCTCCTATTTCTAATTCCACAGGTGATTGACATTGTCAAACCAAGGGCCTGGGTGCTGCCTTCTGTCATAGCTCTTGCAGGAGGACATGGCATAACTGTTGTTTCCCTTTTATAAATGGTTTAATGATTATTTTCAATCAGGACATGTGGGGCCAGTTCCTTGTTTCCTGTTCCTACTCCCAGATTTGCTTCTGTAAGTCATTATTAGTCAGCTTAGATGAAAATACCAGTAATGGAGCGGGTACCAAAATTCGGGGTGAGTTGAATCAATGTGCTGAGCTGGAGATCCCAGGGGCTGAGGAGCCAACCCACACTCCTTTTTGGCAGCTGTGGTGCAGGGCTGCTGCTCTGAGGAGCAGAAAGCTGAGGAGCTTCAGTGCAAGGCTGTCCAGCAAGGATCACCACAGGGAGCTGTGGAGAACTCCAGGCTCTTGCTGTACCAGAGATGCACCAGCTTAACAAAAAAATCCTGAGTCTGTGAGGTTAAACCAGGTTGAATCCCTAATGCTAATGCAAGATTTAACTCTTCCAGATACTATTTTAAGTTGTCCAGGCAGTCACTAAACACAACCAACTGTGAAAAAGATCATTAAAAAAAATGTTTGGTTTGTGTATGTGATGATTCTTGCTGCTTTAAAGCCCAGTAAAGCAAGGCGAATTCCAGGAAAAAAAATCCCTGGTTTGCTTGGGGTTTTTTAAACCAAGTACCTTCCAGTGTGAAGCAGTTTTGAATGATGCAGAGAAGGAGAAGATCCATCCTGGCAGGTTTCTAGGGCTGCAGGGAGCTGCTGGGCTCAGGCAGAAACGGGCCCATGTATGGTTATAGTCAGAACGTGTCGCTGAGTGGCAGCGAGGAAGGCGAGTGGGCTTTGCAGAGCTGCCTGATCTCTGAGCTCTAGCAGAGAATCCAAACTGAATTTGGACTGTGCCCTAGTTAGGCTTATTCCAGCTCCCCAAAGCTGTGTGTCACTTCATGCAGTTTGGGCTGCAGCCTGGGCTCTGCTTCGGGGGTGTTGTGTGTATGCTTTTTACTGTGTATTTTTAAAAGAGCACCCAGTTCTGAGGAATCTATTCCCAGCTAAAGCACACAAGCACAAGAAAGGTCAGAGAGAGGCATCTCTAGCTTTGGTAAATAAACAAATCTCTTCTCAGTGGCTGGGATGTTGTATTAATAGCAGTAGATTTGGTTTCGCATTGTGGAGCTCCTCCTGTTTCATTGCTATTGAAGATAAGAGAACACAAAATGTTCTGTCACCCTCCCTATGAGAAAACAAGCCAACAGGCAGAGACTATTATATTTAAAGATATTACTGAGGCAAAGGCTCAGAGCACACAAACACCAGGTTTATATTCAGTAACTACTGGATACCATCACTGGCACACCAGTAACTCAGCCTTAGTTAATGCCTCGCATGAAAGAGTTTGCAAGGCAAAGTCACTGCATGAGAAATAAACTAAAAATAAGGGTTGAGCCTTAAGCAGATGGAAAGGCTGAGCCTTAATTTTTTTCCCTTTTTCACTTTTCCTGGTGATTCAGTTGCAGCAAAAAATTTAACAGGTCTTTTCTGCTTCTTCACCTGTGCACCCACCAGGCTGCTGCAGCCGGGTTTACTTCAGCTGGTAACCTGGAATTGTTCCTTTATCACGGGACACCAAGATGAACAAGTTTTTCTAAGCAGTTCCTCAAAGGAAGACTTCTTGTGAAATTGTAAAACCCCCCTGACTTGGCAGCAGGCATGTGTAAAATAAATTAACAGAGCTGTACCTTGGAGCTTCCCTACACGAGTTCTTTGGGAATAATTAATTCTAAAATTTTGCATGTAGAATATTTTACTTGGGAATATGCACCTCCAGGGTGGAAGGCAGATTTAGCCTAGTGGGGAAGAAGCATGATGGGAAGAAATGAGGAATTTATCCTCAGCTAGGTGACATATATGACACAAAGCATTGTTTCTCTAGCACTGGTCACTGTTACATGAGTCAATCCATGCTCAGAGTGTTTCTTGTCCTCAGTGGCACCATTGCTCCTGTTGGGCATCAGTCCAAGAAGGAGACAGTTTTCTCTCTGCAAATAAGCATCTTCTGTTGGAGAGCAGATTGCTGGAGATAAGTAAAAATAAACATGAAGCAAATCAGATAATTCTCCTCTCAACAGTAATTTTCCTTGTCCTTGAAATGTCCTCAGCCACAGGTTTATTTGTTTCCCTGATGCTCAGGTGGAGTCTGTTCAGAGGGGAGTTATTCTGCATGCAGGAGGCGTTTTGGAAAACTGCACCTCTACATAGGCTTCAGAAACAAACCAAATGACTCAACAGAAAGAAGTTACATGCAGTGAGATTTTTTCCTCTAGGGGTATTTTTAGAGAAAGAAAATAAAAATATTGGCAGAAGATAGACACTGAAATCATCAAAATTGTTCTCTCTCCAGTCTGACCAGTCTGGAATTTAATTTATGTGCTTGTTGTGGCCCCCTGGTAGCAGTCCACCTTTGTGTGTTGTGGCAAAAACAATCTCAGCTGAGGTGAAGATGCTGCTTACATGTGTTTGTAAGTGAATATCACTTCCCATCTGCTGCACTCATTGCATTTTACATAAAAAAGGGATTAATTATTTCTTCTAGATCAGCACATATGCAAATTCCTCTAAAAAATTCAAAAGAAATTCTGGGCAGAGACAATGGACTTCTTTGACAGCTACTGATGAGTCTTTAAGATGATTATAAATGTTCAGAGAAAGTAACAATTTCTGTAGTTAGGAATAAAAAAAAAGGTAATTGTTCCATATTGTAGCTTCCTTACCATTTGAGAACAACGCCAAATTTAATTCTGCCATCACAGGAATTTCTGGCTGCGGTACATGTGAGAAAAGATTTCCATTTTGAGCACGAAATTTCTTTTAACTGTGATTTTCTGATACAACATATGCCATAGAAATGAGGAAAAAATCCCTGCAGTTTGTGTGAGGGCCTTCTGATCCCTTGGAAGGATTCTGTGTGCCTCGGTGTGTTAGTGCTTGAGAGGATTTAATCCAGATGGTTTTGGGAAGGAATGAGTTTTATTTGTACCTGATACCAATCAGATTTTCTTTTTCAAACAGATTCAAGTGTCATAAGGGCTGTGCTGTGAAGAAGGGATTCTATATAAAATTAAAATCTTTGCATGCAACATTTTTCATTTAATTACATCATAAGCTGCTAAAATCGAAATATTTATTTTTGTTTTAATGATATCATTGTGGGATTTCAAAGCCACATGTAAGCACTACATTTATGTAATGACCACTGAAAAAACAGTACTGAAAACAAAGAGTATCATTTTGAATTATCCCAAGAATATCATGCTCTTGAAAGGTAAGAGATATTAAACACCCAATATATGAGAATAATAGGAAAATAAATTCTTTTATAATTTCAGTATCGATCCAGTTTTTTGGCTTTCTAAAAATGAATTTGTGTACAGGGTGTGTGCAGCTGAACTTTTGGGTAGTGATTTTGGCAGATTGAACCTGATATGAAGATCTTAAATCCGTTTGAAGATCTCAAATCTGTTTGAGCAGCACCTGAATTTCCCTTCAAGGTGTATTAAAGGGCATCAAGCAGCCCCCAGCTGCATGAGCAATAACATAATTGCTGTTCTGCTTGGCAAGGTCATCACCTGGCTCCTGATTACATCTTAATAAATGGCAACAAATTACGATACTTCAAG